CTCTTCCGTGCCATCTTCCATCGACAGTATCGCAGTGCCGTGATCGCTTCGGCGAAGCAGAAGCGGAGAGCGTGAATCTGGGTAGGAAAATATCTCTCGCTTCTTTTCTTTTTTTTTTTTTTTTCCTTCTCGTTTACGTCGCTTCCGTAATGCATCGCGAACGTGCTCGATCGTGTGTACAAAATGTCCGGGAACTATCACTACTAGATCTATTCTTGTTAGCTACACGCAGCTTCTTTCCTCTTCTCTGCTTCGTAATCTGATGATAAGTTAGAATCTTTACTTTAATCATAAAAGCGCATTTGTACAAGAAACACATCGGATCTTTTGGATCGAGAATTTTTTATTCAATTATAAGATAATTGTTATATTGACGAGAGTATTATTATATCATCTTTTTTCAGCTTTGTAATTTGTAATATCGGATAATGTGTTGTAAGTCTCATTACGGATTCAAAATCGATTTGGAATTATCTGTAAAATAAAGTTTTGTTATCAGTTTCCACCTAGTTATATAGAAACTACCGACTCTTCTGGATTTGTATTGAAAAAAAACATTGATTGAATTGAAAGATATAGGTGAAAGCATTGGCGATAATTTTAACATTTCTTTTTTTATTATTCTTTATATCGGCAACCATATTGTCGCATGTGTAATCGCATCTGTAATCTTTATAATAGGAAATGAATAATTTTCGCGAAGTAAAATCCGGTTTATACTGACAATGATGTCATTTCTATAAATTTCCAAAGTAGAGAGAGATCGTAACGTACACGCATATATCAAGATATATACTTTGTTGAATCTTAAAAATTACAACACACGGATGCATTTATAAATATCTCGCGCTATCATACAAATAATAAACGAAATAAAGAAAATCGAAAGAAAAATTTATTTTTTTACATTGTAAATTCCTAATTTTTGATGGAGTTTTAGATGACTGTTTATTTTAATTCATTTATAAAAAAACGAACATTTTTATCAAATTTTATACACTTTTTTTTACTGCGGTTTAAAGTTATACGGATTTCGAGATTTATCGAGTGATTTCATCAGTTCTTGTAACGGAGTACGTGTCGCGAAAACTTGCGGAGCGATGCGACATTTTAGTGGACACGAGCCAAAACGGTTCGAAATATTTATATCATTATAACGTGTTCGGTAGCAAGAGAGATTCAAACGGTGTTTCGATATTGTGTTCCTCTTCAATTAGAAAATATGTTTACATTCTCGCGAAACATACTGTAGAGCTCTCAAGGCCGGTCGTGACAAAAACTGTTATCTATCGATCATATGTTCAGATGGAATCCAACCTTGTAAGAAGCTTTCTTCGAGAATCTAAATTTCCAAAGTAACATCTGCGACTTTCGATAAATTTATTGAAAGAAGAAATCACTGATCAAGAATTTCTACATTATAATATAATAATATTAATTGCATTAATTATTTTAATGAAAAGCTAACTTGTAATCTTTTCTTGGAATGCTTTTTATAGGATTTTTACGAATGCTTGTTATAGGACTTTTTACGAAGCACATTGATAATTTAAAACTGCGGTTTAAAGTTATACGGATTTCGAGATTTATCGAGTGATTTCATCAGTTCTTGTAACGGAGTACGTGTCGCGAAAACTTGCGGAGCGATGCGACATTTTAGTGGACACGAGCCAAAACGGTTCGAAATATTTATATCATTATAACGTGTTCGGTAGCAAGAGAGATTCAAACGGTGTTTCGATATTGTGTTCCTCTTCAATTAGAAAATATGTTTACATTCTCGCGAAACATACTGTAGAGCTCTCAAGGCCGGTCGTGACAAAAACTGTTATCTATCGATCATATGTTCAGATGGAATCCAACCTTGTAAGAAGCTTTCTTCGAGAATCTAAATTTCCAAAGTAACATCTGCGACTTTCGATAAATTTATTGAAAGAAGAAATCACTGATCAAGAATTTCTACATTATAATATAATAATATTAATTGCATTAATTATTTTAATGAAAAGCTAACTTGTAATCTTTTCTTGGAATGCTTTTTATAGGATTTTTACGAATGCTTGTTATAGGACTTTTTACGAAGCACATTGATAATTTAAAATAAATATTATCTCTTAATATCTACATAGAAGATTATCTTTGTTTTTTTTTTTATTTATCTATTTCGTCATATTAATTGATGAGAGAAAAGTAAGAGACTCGCACATATCTCCTTGCTCTTCGGGGCTCCCCGGAGGCGTAAAGACGACGCTAAGAAAAGAGGCAATCAGGGCGAGATAAGAATACGCAAACGTTTGCGCTTTTCAGGAAAGTAATTCTGTGAACGATGGTATCCTCGACGATGACGGAAGTAGATCCGATAAAAAAATCATGTGGCACGATGGGCATCGCGCCGGGCGATTATCGCCTGGTTGGCTGGGACATGGACACCACCGGTAAGAAAGTCATCGACGAAATCTGCCAAATAGCTGCCTACACCCCCAGCTCCATTTACTCCCAGTACGTGATGCCGTATAAGGATCTCAATCCGACCGCCATAAAGCGACACAGTATGAAGGTCGTGACCAACGGCAAATTCCGCGTGCTCAGGAACAGTAAGACCAACGAGGTATGGATCAAGATCGCAATACGAAATATGTATCGATACTGTTTCGTAAAAGGGAAAAAGAATTTATTATTGAAGACACAAATCTTTTGAAATAATAATTCACGAATTGAAAAAATACAAAAGTAAATTCTCTTTGAATTCTAATTGATATTATGTAAAATTTTGTAATCAATAGCAAATAGGAGAAAAATTATTTCTAATCTTTTATATATTCATTCTTATATATGAATTTTTTTTTTTCACGTAGGTAATCAAATCCAAGAGCGAAATATCCGCGCTGACGGATTTCTTGACCTGGATGGAGACTATGAAAGGAAACGCGGACGGTGTAATTTTGGTTTATCACGAGCCGCGCAAAGTCATCCCCGCTATGTTACTCGAGTCGTTAAAGAAGTACGATCTTCTCGATCGGTTTAAACAGACGGTCAAGGGATTTGCGAATGGATTCAACATTGCTGAAGACAAATGCGCGAACATGGCACATATTTATTCTCTTCGCACTCTGTCACGCACGCTGTTGAAGAAGGTGAGAAAAACGATATATCCTGATCAATGATACATACATATATCAAGCATATAAATATCAGAATCTGACAGAAATATAACAAAATTTTTGATCGATTGGTTTTCGATAAACAGAGCGATATTTCTTATCGAAAATAATTGAAAAATCTTTTTCGACCTAAATCAGTATTTATTTCTGGTTGAATAAATTATATACTTTTATTGATAAAATTTCAATCAATAAAAGTAGATGTTCGCAAATTAACAACTGACATATTGTGTGTTATAAAAATGTTTCGAAAAAATATAATAGTGATATCTCTCTATAATAAATATTGTCAATTATATCCAAAGGAAATGAATCTGGGAAATGCGCAAGATAGAGCATCGCTGGCGTTGCAAATAGCGCAATACTTGTGTTCGATTGAAAACATTAAAGTCGAAGATGCGAGCGAAAGCGCGGACAATGATGCAGCTATGAAAAAAACGATCGAGTTGATTCGAGAATTCGCGCAGCCTGTTGACATCGAGGAGCAGGAACACAACGGTACGTATCATTGAGTGTACAACTTGACTTTCGCGTATTTTCGAGAAAAAATCCGATATACTTTTCATTTTGAAATAATTTAAAATTGTTTTCTTATTAGTAATAAAAATATAATCTAATAATAACACGATATATAATTATTGAATAATTACTTTCGCTATATTTTCTTAAAAATACTCTAATTTTGCTAGATAAAACGACATAATCTTATCCCAAATTTTTCCAAAGCATCAAATTATAAATTTTTTTAATTTCATCAAATTTTAACCTGTCAAAATTAAGTTGGCAAGTGTTTGAGATAAGAAATCAGCGCAATGCATAACTTTTGTTGTAGAATTGAAAATGGTATTTGAACGGCAAAACAATTTGCGGCCGATATTCAGCGCCCTGTTCCGTATGAACCGCCGCGAACGTCAACATGCTAGTCCCCTCCGGCGATTGCTTGCCGAAGCCGGGATCGTGTACTCTGAGTTACAGGTGAGTGTGTCTGCATGATTAATTGCGTGCTAGCAATCAGAGTTTGTTTACGCCAAGCAACGTCAAACGGAAACGCATGTAATCCGATTTTTCCCGGTTTCCCTTGTTAAACGTTTAAATCTGTAAAGAGATTGTACGGCGCTCTATATCCTTATGAAAGATTCAATTTATAACCAAATAAACAGTTTCTTCATCGATCGCGTCGATGGTTGTAATCGAACATTTGCGGGAACTTTGTTTTCACGCGCGAATTTCACGTTTTAGGACGCCTGGACCAACGCAAAGAAGGATGGATTGGAGCATTTGATGAAGGAGAAGTTGCCGAAGGTTGATGAGAAAAAAATAGAAGATTTGATGATTATCCTCGAGCGTCACTTCGATCCGGAGAAGAAGCCGAAGAGTAGAACGCCGGAGAAGAAAGGCACCAGATCAAGGAACGAGAAGAAGATAAGCGAGGATAAGGAGAATAACAACAAGAGCGATTCAGGCCACGACAGCCCCGACACCACCACGTCCGGTTCCCCTGTCAAAATGAACGGCAACAACATCGAGATTAAAGCGGAGGAGTGCGCTTTAACACAAGAATGTACCGACAGCGTTTAACGATACTGACTTCTTTTACACGCCGCAGAACAAAAGCAAAACATCGCGGCCATTATGTTTTTATTGCTTGTTATAATTTTTCGGACAAACGAGCAAACGTGGATTCTTTTTTGTTGCCATATCAATGACGAAAAAAAATTGATAATTAACGCAAACGACGAACGTAGATTTGGCGTGCCGAGATGAAATACAGCACGCGTTCAATCGAATTTACTGCATTAAAACGTGCTGTGTTTTGTAGAACAATCGCTAAATTTATGTTCCTTTTACGTTGAACAGAGTCGCGAAAAGATCTCTTTCTTTTTGAGGTAATTCTGAGATAAATGTGTTAACACATTACGATCGCCCTATCGGGTGATATTGTGCGTGATTAACGACAAGTGTTATTTGTTGCAGTATTGTATTTTTTTCTTTTTTTTTACTTTTTTGTTTAGTTGTTCCCCGACAGGCGTTATATTAAGAAGAGGACAGGTTTCCTACGAGACACGCCGTCAGATTTAACTCAAATGTACAAATAACACGTTAAATGACGTTTAGTTTATTTACGCGAAAAGATATATTTAATATCGTTTACATTTCATAATTTTATACTAGTTTGTTTTCTCTTTCTCTTTTCTCTTATTTCATTCTCTTCTTTTCTACAGAATTTGTACGCTCGCTATACATGGCGAAAGCGTCCATTTATAGACTGCTCCGTGTGAAAAGCATAGAAAATATCGCGGGCTTTGTTATCACATAGTTCACGACGTGTACGATAGTGTGCACGATATTTTCTACTTTTTACCGTTTAAGCCGCGCGCAAGGCGCATGTGGTAATATTAGAGAGATATATATTTTTATATTGTCGCACGATTATATAATATGCCATTTCATTTCTGCTGCGGGAGCTCATTGTATTAGTATTGGATAATAAAGATTCGAGTTTAGTTACAATTTTAACTTTATAATTCCATAAACTAAATAAAATTTTATAATTCCATAAACACTTTCATATCTTTAATAAAATATGATATAAATATAATATTTTTAATTATATAAACCTCCGAGTTTACATTCATGTTTTAGCACTGTCCATCTGATATTCCGATCTTTATTTTGTACAAAAATCGTAATTTTATTATAAAAATCAGATGGTCAGGTATAACGTTAAATATAAGATGTATGCGCAGGTTTAGCGGTGTAAAGAAAGCATTATTTTTAATTTTTTTCATTGTGCTAGATTATGAATACATTTTGAAATATAGATTAATGACCTAATGATATAAATAATTAACATTAAAAATAGAGAGCGCGCTGCATACGATTAATTTTCGCTAATCAAAAATAGATTTCAAATTTGTCGAAGGATTTACTTGGCAAAAGATTATATATAATAACTCTGTGCTATATCTGCATAATATCGGAGGTGATTTATTTCTGCGCGGGATATATACGGCGTTTATTAATTGCGACAAGCGCGCGCTGCTACGGTGCGTGAATTGCGCGAGGGAAGCTCGATCTTATATAAATGTGTGGTTCAGTAAAGTTCTTAATAAGCAAAAAAATCGCCGGTTAAAACGGAATTTTCCGCTTTTACCCCTCGTGGATACTGCTCCTTTCCCCGAGAGAAAACGGAAACGAATTAAATACGCGAGCGAACGGTTGTTCAACACATCTGCTGCGGCGGATTTTCATGCCGTGTGCCAAAACGCCCCGAAGCGTGAACGGTGCGGAAAATGATAGTTTATACGAGGGAGATTAAAGAAACGCTCTTTCTCCCGGTACACGCGCGCGATTCTTCCGCGAATCCTTTTTCGGACAGGTGCGGTAAGTATGCAGGATCGCAGGATTGATCCGCGCGAACGCGACGCACTCGGCTAGAAAATTGAGTTTTTCCACACGCAACGGTTAGATGAAGATACCGTCATGTTACTTCGCGTATGCACTTTTTTCTGATGCCGTAAAATATAACTGTGCGTTTAGCAGTACAGATGTTTCATGCATGGGCTGTTTCGGAAACCAGAACTTAATTTCACTATCCTATGATGTCAATCGAAAGCATATCGGTACTTTTGAGATTTCCTTTAAGGAAATTCTATATACTGACAATGAAAATATTGAATAATTATTTATATAGTCAATTACGAAACTTTTTCAGATTTTATCATATTGCTGCTAAAATTAATTTAAAAAAAGGGATTTGTCTCTTATCCAAGCAACATGAATCTACTGTCTATGTGTATATATATATCATACTTAGAAATTTAATTAAATTTATCATCTAAAATATATAAAAATTTGTAATTTTATCTCTCTTTCAGGACAAAATATTCTATAAAAAACATGTATTCACAAATGTATAATATTTTTTGTCAAAACGTGAGTTTTCTAGAAAGAAATAATATATATGTTCCTCCGCGGAGAGAAAATAGGTGGCGTGAATAAAGGGTGAAAAAGAAGAAAAGCACTTACATATTTTATATTATGCAAATGGCTTTCTACTGAAAAATTAATGTTGCCACTGGCATTCAACAATGACGATACATTTAAAGCATTTTTTCACAAACGGAAGATCTCGATAATTTAGACACGTAACAAAAAAAAAAAAATAACAATTTTGCAATTATGATTGTTAATTTTTTCACAAACGGAAGATTTCGATAATTAGACACGTAACAAAAAAAAAAAAAATAACAATTTTGCAATTATGATTGTTTTTCTTTTACGATATGTTATTTTTTCACGAGAAAAGCAAGTTCTGAAATGTGCTTTCCATGATCGCATTAATCCTGTTGCCAGGAGGTATCATCCCCACGGAAATTCTCTTGAGAAGGAGCTTTGTCACATCTACCAGAAATCGATAGAGGACCTGGCGAAGCGTGAAATGCCGATTTTTAACAGCACTCTTCGATGACCGCTCAATGATTGAACGGATCCGTTGTGATATAGAATAATAACATAACAGTGAGACCCGGAACAATTCCAGGAACTGGGGATGAAGCGCAACGCTTCGGACATAGAATTTACAAAGAGGATCCCGTATTATAGTAGTATATAGTAGTATATAGCAGTTCTCGCATAAATCATACGTTATACATTGGATTTAGTCTCCGCATAAACTCTAATAAGTTTATTAAGATTAAGATTAAGCATTTTTACATTTCTTTCAGAAAGAAGCTTAATGTAAAACAGATAATGGAGTGTATTTTGTAGCTTTCTTTGCGAACTTTTAATTCAAACTACGCGTGTGAGTGAAAAACTTTGTCTCTAAAAAGTTTTACTAAATTAATGTGTTGAACTAAATTAAAATCTCAATCAATTACGTAATTCACAACGGCGCTCTTATGGCTTTAATACTTTTCGATCCATTAACTGGCATATTAAATGAAAATAAATGATACTTTTCCGACGAACAAAGTCGGTGCCTGTGGACGTAAAACGGACGTGAATTTCGTGCGATTAATTTTGTATTACGATCGCGTAATTTCGCTATTACCGTGGTCGAAACGATTATCGACATAAATGTTAATATTAATTGCAGGATTTCAGAATTAACGCATTGATCATTGAACGCACGAGGATTTCAGGACAATACCACGAATTAGCGAAAATCTGTAATTAACACGTGTTACATGCAGGGACGAATCATTATTAACGCAAAGTGTTTACATACTATCTCGCTTTATCTCAATTAACGATGAATTTGATAATGGAAAATTATTAGTGCACAAAAAGAAATTTAAAAAAAGGAGCGAGATTCTCTTTCCCGTAGAGCAAGAGCACAATATAAATTGATAAATAATTAGCATACTATATTTTTTCTTGCGCTCATTTGTTATGCGTCATTATTGCGCAATGCTTACGACTCGCCTTCCTTCATAATTTTACACGCGCTCGTGTGCAATTGTGCAGTCTAGGATGCAAATTTCCTTTAAAGAAAATTATATCGCGCGTTCGCAATTATACACATGTACTGAATATCTTCGATGAACGCCTAATCGACTTGTATAACCAACACATACATACACATTTTGTTTTTATATTTATAAAAATATAGTTCGTTAGAAGTAAACGAACCGCACGCCACACGCAACGGCATAATGTTCTTCCGTTACTACATTAATTTAACAATTGAGAAACTGATAACTGATAAAAGACAACATAAGTAAAAAGATCTTATCTTATTAATATTCTAAAATTAATAATCTAAAATTTTTGTTATATCAATTTAAACCTTTTTCTTTTAAGGCGATAATCAAGACCTTTTGGGAGTAAATGAAAGAATGTAACGAGCCCCTAAAAGTGCTCGGAAACAAAATACTCAGGTCAATACATTGTCGATACCTCGATAATGTCCCTATGAGCTTAACCCGCGTGCGGACGCTATTATCGGAGGATCGCCCTTCGTCCTGTTTAATTCCTTTTCGCAAATGGCCGAGCATGGCGAACAAAATAGCTCGCACGGCTTGGTATCGCGATCGCCGCTATAACAAGCGGCGCCGCGAAGGAAATTGCCGCGTCCGAGGGCTACCTTAATTGATAATAACGCGCGCGCAACGCAGAAGCTATCGGGATAATTAATGACACGCTGGCTAACCGCCGCGCCGTGGCTGCTTTCGTTACCTCGCTCCAACAATGTATCTGCTTGATGAAAGGGAAGGGAGATGAGACGAAACAATTATGATCCACGCGATGCAGCATCTCCCGCAAGCAGGGTGATGATCTCATTACGCATCTTTTTCTGTGCGAATGGATAAAAAAAATCAGGACGCTTGCAGCTTTTTGATAAAGAAGATTAAAAAATTATTGTTTGGTTCTTGGATTTTTCGTCGTTTAAATTATTTCGTCAAGTCACTTTGCGAATCGATTTTTAAATTGTTTATTGAATGCGATATCCGCTAAAATTTCAATGATTCAACGTTTTAATAAATAAAACGAAATGACAAAATGAAATATAAACGGTTTTTTAGTTGTGTTCTGCAAAACCAGAATAAATTGGCGTGAATTTTTTAAATTTACGCTGACGCCCGAAGATATACTTTAGAAAAGAGAACTTTTTTTTGCTCTCATATAGACAGTGTTATGCAAAAATGAATTAATTCGAGTAGTCGTTTTTTATTTTAAATTAAATGCAGAATTTCAAGTTGCCAATTTATTTACAAAATTATCCATTATAATTTGCTTTTTAATATTATAAGTTGATTGATGTAACACTGAATTAAATATAATATAAATTCCTAAATATAATATATAAATAATAATCCTGAGTATTCAATACATTTCTAAATATCTCGCAATATGCAGATTTTAGATGTATGATCTTGGTTTTTTAAATATTGTAATTTTTATTTTATTAATTAATAATAAGTGTTTTAATTAAAAAGATGATAGATTTGTTTTCTTATATTTTCCACATAAGTTACTATAATTAAATGCAATATAAGAACACTATAACATGTGTCTTAAAAAGAGAGATCTACAATTGCTTCCTCATAGAGGAAGCTTTGTTTTATTTACAATTGTATTTTATAAAAATAAAAATGAAAATTGAGTTCAAATTCAATTGAATACATAGTTTATTCAAAAAGTGAACGAATAAAGGAAGATTCTTTCTACAGGAAATTGGATTAAAAATGACGAGGATTTCGATTCAGTTTGGAGACTTTATATTATTTGTCCGTTATTTTTCAATAATTATAAAGAAAATGAATTGTTTACTTACACGAATAAACACGTACTGCACAGAATGTAGAAAGTAGAGTGGTCAATAAATGTATTTATTTACACTGCAAACTGAGATAACGAAGGCGATCGTTGTCTGTGCACATAATCGCAACCACTTGCGTTGATTAATCCAATCGTTCATAGGTACATCCTAGATTCTCGATATTGATTGTGCGCAAATAATAAAAATACATTAAATGCTTCGTCAATACTTTTTCCTCAGTTTATAAAAAAAGCTATTACTAGATTATTTTTTCTGCATACTCTCAATAAATATATCGCATCTTTCTCACGCGTATTATAAATTGCAAGCCATTTGCAAAATTGTCAAATATATTTGACTTTTATAAACTAAATTAAGATTTGGCTTGTTTGCGATTAAGAAAGATATTGTTCCAATGAAATGAAAATTAGCGAAAATCTACTAACTTTTGACATACAAATATTTCTGTATTTGTTTTACTAATAATTTTCTATGTCTAAAGAAAGCATTATCTTAATATTAGCAACGCATTGATAGATTGATATTAAACCAATAAAAGATCTCAATTATCTTACAGAAAACTTTTTGTAGTTAACGGATTACTGATGTTTCGCATTTGCGTTCTAAATCGTTAGACAGCACTATTAGGGGGAAACTATCGCGCATTCGCTCTTGTCGAAATCGCGGCAACGAATGATTCTTACCGTAACTGCCGCAAGAAAAAGTGCGGATGCAACGGCGGCGAGGTCAGCGGCACGCGAGCAAGGTAGTTTTTGCAGACGCCTCGACGTCTTTTCCGCGAGCCTGGTAGTTTCGTGCGCGTTCGCGGAATTCCGCGCGTCTCATTCCGCTTTCCTTCTCCTTCCTTCGTCGACTTCCGATCATCTTTCGTTCGCTCGCCTCACGAGCAAGTTCACGATTAACGACTAACGTAATTATTAGCGCCTCGCCGGCTGTTACGTCGACGTTGATGTAACAGCGCGTGCAACGCGCCTTCATAACGTCACGGACCATAACGAACATCGGCGAATCGCGAACAAGGAAGATGAAGACGTTGAAGATGTGACGACTGTAGCGATAAACCTTTTTCGACTGCTGTGCTGATATTCAGAGAAATTTATATATAAATTAAATAACCTGCGATTAAATTAATTTTTATTTATAATTAAAAAGATAAAGCAGCCGCTCGCTCAAGAGAGTTAAACGACAAGGCAGATATGCACAGAAAAATAACGGAAGGGCAATTTCTTCCTTCTCGTATGAAGGAACGTGGACTGCTACTATTACCACTATTACTATGCGCGTGTGGAGACTGCGTGACACCGCATCGTACTCTATCAGTCACTCAGTCAATGACAAGTACAGTAAAGTCCCTGCGAATGTGCGACGCCGGGACCGTCATTCTCACTTTTTACGGAAGCACATGACGCCGATAAGCACTTAATCCACTATTCTATGTAGCAATATATCACACCTCGAAGAGAGTGTTACAACACAAAAAGTCAATTTTTGCAAAATAAGGGGTTGCGCAGTTTAATTATAAAAAAACATCGTTAAAAGATAAAACTCTATTCTATGGAATATATCATCATATATCTCAATTCTGTGCCTATATCGTGGTGCAAATTTTTATTACCGAAAAAGAAAACACAAGTCTATAATTTTAATTTTTAATTGTTCTTTTTTTTCCGTTTTATTTTATAAAATTCTTTTCAGAAAAAAAAAATTTCAAACTTTCAAATACAAAATTAATTTTAAAAATCTTTAAATTTTTTACTTTTTATTCTTTTTTTATTCAAGAGGCAGTATAATGAAAGTCCTTAGATATTTTTAAGATATCTATTGTATATTTATGATTCCTATTACATTTTATTATCTGAAGACTCAAAGTATATATATCTATATACATTTCAAAAAATTTAGTAGTTTTTTTAAAGGTATTTTTTCAACTTCTTTCTAATATAATATTCTACAATCAATGATAAACATTGATCTAGAATTTATTCGCGGAAAAAGTCAATAACCGGTTAAATAATTCGCCTATTATGCATGATCGCATAATATTTCGCGACTCGCTGGTTTCGTTGATCTTCTCAAACCAAAATGCAAACAGAAAGGATAAAATGACCAAATTCTTCTGTGGTTATAGATCAATCTCATAATTTGAAATGCCGTTGGCTGTTGGAAAGACTTCGTAATGCATTAGGCTATAACATATTTTATATAAAAGTTAAAAAGCATATCTTTTTTAGATGTAATATATATATTTTTATCATAGATACACGAATCTTTTTCTCATTCGCGCAATAAAAAATTCTTTTAGTCATCTTTAAATAAAATTAATTATTAATATCTCAATATGCTTGCGATTGCACGTAATTAATAATAAAGCAATAAGAATATCTCCATTTTTTGCAACTTCAGAAGTGTGGAAAATTAAATTGTAAAAAAAAAATTGTAATATATTTTAAGAATAAAATTAAAATCATGTTGCGAGCAATCATTTTCGTTCCTTTGATGAGCAAAAAGTTCGCATTATAACATCATAGAATAAAATTTCTAGATATGTAATGAATACGAAAACTAGAGCAAGTATAAAAAAAGAGAAAAAAACCAATGGACACGGTCAAGCGTGAAAGACAATCTTAGAAGCAAGATCGTCGAATCGAATTAGGATGATGATGTTTCTTGTACACGAGGAGGGGTACCTAAGACAAGAGCTGACGAAAACTCCTTCGGAAACTGGGACATCTGGTCACCCTCAGGTCAGATCCTCAGACCTGGTCCGAGGAAACCTGGACTCGCGACGCTCGTTCGAGGCCGTCACTGGGCGAACGCGCGAGCTGGCACGAAGCGAGGATGGTTGTTAGTGGAGGCACCGAGCATGCATTTAACAGTACTCCGGACGGGCCGGTGCGGCGGCGGTGGTTCGCTGGTTCCCCGGGTTTCTGCCGCCGCGCGGCCCCTTCTTGCCGGGAAGATGAGCTGCGCCCGGCTGGACACACCGGGGGAAAGGAATCCTCCGCGTGCCCCGACTTGGTGCACGCGCTTCAGTCCATCGGGGGCCTTCGTCAAAATTGCATCCCTCTCTGGCCACCGGCGGTTAGTTCTCCAGTTNAAAGAGTGTCTCGAGTGTCTTCGATAAACACTTTACGAGTTAACGAGGGGAGTGAGAAAGAAAAATAGAATCTGACAAGATCATGTGGAGGGTCCTGATCGCGGGATTTTGCACGGTGAGTCCGTCCAGAAACCGGCGCGAGAAATTAAATGTCGCGAATATCCTCTTCTAAGAAATTGATGAGAGGAAATGATATTTCTTTCAATCCTCTCTATCGACGACATGAAATGAGATTTAATAATTCTGCCATTATGTTTGATATGTTAAACTTATTAATTGTTATTTAAAATCCATATCAATTTGTTTAATGTTTTTACTTTGACAATATGCATCCGCGATATTGCAAAGCTTTAAAGCTCTTCTTTTGAAATAATAAGTTATTCGTTACTTGATTAGCACTGCTCTCCGCTACTGTCTTTGCATAAATCTATGCATCTAAATGAGACAAAGAAAAAGCTCGGTGCAAATCCTCTTTTTTAAGAATTTGAGAAAGTTAATTTAAATATGATATTTCCTGAGTTTTTATAGATAAATCTTGTCAAATTATCTGATTTCAATTTTACTTATCAGACTCTGATGAATTCTTCAATAAACTTTTTATGAAATAAAAATATAAAATCTTGACTTTAGATTCACCGGGCAATAAGAATGTTCGTTCTCCTCGCGCTTTTGCCATCTAGTTTGCATGCCCCACAATTTTTATCAACGTGAAGGACGGATTTCGGACGATTCTCTTGCGGATAAATCAGTTCGATCGTGGATGATGGACGAGCACTAGATTTTCATGTCATCCACATTCCTGGTGACTTATGTTTGTCATACGGCGCCAGAAGTTTGTTTGATATTGTGTGATGACAGTTTGTCACGTGATTGTAATGCATATACACACGCGTATTTAGATATCATTTTTATCAAAAGATCATCAATCAAAATCATATCTTCTATTGATCCCTGTTCAACTATGATACAATCTTTTAACGTAAAAAAGTAACGATGAAAAATATTATCCAAAATCCACGATTATAAATATATTTGCACAACGCAAATGTAAAAATTTTACGAATTAAGAATCTAATAAATAGTGTTCCACGTGTTTAACAAATTGTTGAATAAATTTTGAGTCGGTTTATTCGAAAATGGTTTCTATCGATAGAATAAATCTGACATCATCAAAGTAATTACTAAAATAAAACTTCAATATTGATGCATTTTTATCTTTCGACATTTTAATCTTATGACATTTAATTATGCATCCTTTTCCGACTTATTTTCTATGTATTTATACGCCTCCGTCGAACTCATCATAGTTTGTTCACTTTGTGACGCGATTTCGAAATATCTGCCAATAATGACAATATCAATTAATTTCCGTTGGCGAAAGAAGCTACCGCGCGCGTATATAGGCGATTGTTCGGAGATATCCTGTGACAAAGAAGAGGTGATCGGTTTTCATTTTAACTGGAGCACGCGCAGGGCAATGTTTCTCTCTCACGATGCTCCTTTTGCGAAAAAAAAACTCAGGCATTTGATATATTTTTATATTACGCCATTAAATCACGCCGCACATCAAGAATAATGCCCCATCGAAGCATTTTTCGCGTTCGATTCATTTTAATTTTCCAGATTGTCAGAAAGAGTCACAAACGTATAGACGCGCAAATAGACGATATAGCCGAGGATAATTTAAAATGCATCCCATTAATACACGTGACATTCGAAGTGATGAAATACGATAACGGGCAATTTAAAGCGAGTCGCACGACCCGCTACTGATACGCTTGAAATATTAATGGCTTCCCCAAATGACGAAATAATTGTATTGTGTCGGACATCCCCCCGCGGTATTGGGTGCGCAGCGACTAATTTTGCCATGAAACGCGATATGTCGGAATGCTTTAACACAGCCATGCACGCGAAAATATCGAGAGGATCATATATAGCATGATAACGTCATAATTCTATCGTGTAAATAGTTTACATGTGTATACCTTGATTATTTTTTTTTCTCTTTTCCAATACACTTGCATTACATACAATATCGTGTAACGCCGTAATAGCAGATATGATGAAAAAGATTTTAAATATAATAGCTCGCTGAAACACGTATATCGGACGAGCGATGTTTATTTTCGCGTCATCGATCGCCGTTGCATTCGCGCTTGTTACCGAAAAACAATTTCCCGTGTCACCAAGTTTAATTAAAATGTAATTAAAATACGTTTGATTTAAAGTTTAAATTAGAAATTAAAATTAATCCGGTTGTATATATAGACGATCAAAATTCTAATTATGCATAATTCGATCGAATTTTGCAACGCAAAGGTCCTGTGATAACGTTTAAGTGACGATTGAAAATATTTGATGAAGGATCAAAAATATATAATTTCAAAGTATACTCTATATTTTTAAATATTTCATCTTTTCTTAGTAGAAAATATGGAAAAAGGTCTTTATATCCTTGTTCTAATTCATAAAAGTTCTCATTAATGGAACCAAAACATTTATTCACCATAACGTTTTCTTGCAAGAAAAAGATTTCTGTAAAACTAATACACAACTTCTTTATGGCAATCTTTGAAGTAGTATTAAATTAACATACACTAAAAATAATTGCTAAAAAAATATCTCAAAGTTATAATTATATAAATGTTGTGTCTAATTATTTTTTTATTGGTTTTATTTAATTGCAAAGAAATATCAATATTCATTTTTAATTAAGATAGAACATGATAAAATCAAAAGGATTTAAAAATATATATGGATTTAGATATCTGTACTTCTTGACAGAGTTATAACACGTAGAAGAATTTAATAAAATTTCAAATTTGTTACTAAATTTATTTATATATAAAACAAGTTAAAAAACTCATATCAATCAATAATAGCAAATTGACTTAAATTTTTATTGGATAGATAATCAAGTAGATCGAAAAATAGATTAAATGACTTAGTGATAGCAAGAGTTAAAATGGATTACAAATTAGTTTATATCATCTCGAATGTTTGCAAACTATGTATGTCTTATTTTATTCGTGTTTTTTCGTTTTATTTCCAATATTATTAAAATATCATGTCATACACATACAATTTTATCACAATTTTAATATCTTTAAATACAGTTATTTCTTATTAGCTGTATCTCATTCCTATGGATATATTTGTTTGCTCCTCGGCCACTGTAAAATGTTTCGATACGGTGACATATTTGGGCGTTGTGTGCCGCGTATTATATCCAAATTAAATATACTTTTATCTCGCCAAATTCCAAGCCATTCAACGAATACGACATGTCTCGCGCGTCAACAAATTTAACTGTACTGAATTGTGCCGGCGATGAGAAGGACTACGATGTCGCGGATGAACGATACTAAAATGGCATTAAAAAAAACGGGTTTTATGAAGTCATAAAGAGAAGGTTTGCGGTTCTTCTCGAATGAGACCGAAAAAAGGCCAGAGACTACCTGGCGGTCAATCGCGGTCATTTCGTCTCGCGTGGCGGATTTCGAGCTGTCTGTCTTTTACCGTTACATTTGCTCAGTTCTTAATGAAAAAACAAAATTCTTCTCGCTGTATATAAATTAGGCACGGTTTATTAATCCGTTTCGTTATATTTTCCTGATATATTACAAGATTTGTTTCAGAGATCGCGATCTTAATTTTAATGATGAAATTTTTATAGCAATCTTGATTCGAGTATATCTAAGAAAGTTCTCAAAAATAATTATATTAAAATATTCTTTCTCATACAAATTTCTTCAATAATTAATGTATAGTTGCACTTTATTAGTTATATTTATATTTAGTTCATTACACAATCTGCATTTGCAAACACTTTTACTTTATATATTTTCTTCAGTGTTTTCTTATCCGATAATTTTTGTGCAATAAAGAGTATTTCTTAAAGTATGTATTTGACTTATTTGTCTTAAATATTGTAAAATCTTGTAGTGTTTCAGAGGAAATATAAAATAATATCTACAAAACAGCCCGCGATAGCGTTAATAAACCGCGGGAATTATAATGCATATATACACGCGGTTGCATTTTAATTTATAAAAATTAATCTCTCAGCTTTCTCTCAATTTAATTTAAAATCAGTTTTTCTTTGCCATCGTCGGTTGTACGAATTTTCTGAACCATCATGTCAACACGCGTAATTGCTCGATCAAAGTTTTGACGAATCGCGCAATTTTTGTCAACTCGGGACAAAGCTCATCGGGAAAACAGCACCTCGATGAAAGTTGTTCGATAAAAACTGTAATACACACACAATCGGATATTCGACTGCTAAATACTTTGATTCGTTTGTCAAAGACGCCATTAAGAATATTGCCTGCATTGCAAATAGTTTCTGATATTAATGGTCGCCCGCATCACCATCTTCCTTGAATATTCTATTCACATTCCCGTTCATCCACTTAACAGATTTCGCGAATAAATTTTCGAGATGTTCATAATAATAAATATGCCGTTATTTATTTTCTCATTTACAAAGATTGCGATAAGAAATAAAAGGCAACAGAGCAAAAAGTATAAAGAATTTTAATAGACTTCATTAAGTTTTATTTCGCTCAAGTTAAATCTGAATTTATGAATGCTTCGCTTTGAAGCCAATTTTTAAGTAAGAAAAAATTTAAAAAAAAAATATTTATAAAAAGAAAATATATAAAAAGAAATTAAATTTTCTTAAAATAAAGTTTAATTTATATAGAATTCACTAAAAAAAGTTCTTTACCAGTACTTTCTCAGAATAATTATTAAGTTTCGTTATATAAAGCGTAATTCGAAAAATTAAAATCTCTAATTCTCGATCAAAGTTAGAATTAAGCTGATCAAAGCAAAAATTAATCATTTTGATTCCTTTTCAAGCTGTTTCTAGACATATCTCTTTTTACGGTAGATTTTTCCACCATTTCAAAGTAGAAGATTGCACATCACTCAGTGCCGTTTCCAACTGCTTACATAATTTGCACATTACATCTCGCGACTTTGATAAATTTTGTATCAAACGGGGTTTTTTTTTTTTTTTGCTTTACAAAGACATCGCCTCAAACGGAATATATGTATAATCATCGCAAGTTTCACGAGCGCGACAATTTAAACGTAAATTTGCAGTACAAATTTGTCTTTTTAATTTGGTCATGTTACTTGTAATTCTAAACAGATATAAAAAAAATTCTTTAGTGGATTTGAATTAAAGCGGTAAAAAATGCGCAAAACAGCATTGGTTTATTAATTAAAATTATCAAATTTCATATATCTCACAATCTTTATTATATCTTCAAAAGAGAAGGAGTGTAATAATCTTGTATGCTTGTAGAAAAGAAAGTAAAAATAATGAAAGAAGCGTAACCGACGCGCGATCTGCTTTATTATGACGAATATGCGTATATATACCGCGGAATTTAAGAAAATTATTAAAAGTAATTAAAAATAATTATGCATTATTAAAAGTAATTAATAATTATTATGTCAATAAATTAACAATCAATTTTAAAGTTTTACTTTTTTAAATATAGATGGGCTTATATATAATCCGAGAATATTGAAAAATATTATAGTTGTTATGTAAAAATAAAATAATCGTATTTAACATGAGGGAAGAAATTTATTCAATTATGTCTAGCTTTTCAAACACGAAATTGCACTGGGATTAGCTAGGCTGCTTCTCATAGGTTAATCTTCGTCCTGAAATAACGTCTGATATTGCATCCTTTAATTTATGACTTCGCATAATTGACAAAGATGGTAACTGCTTGTAATGCTTTTTTTAAGCGAAATATAATGGATAATAGCTTGAAATTATACAAAAAGTATGAATTGTAACAAAGCAGAAAATCAAAATTTCGTCTATAATAAAAATTATGTTACAAACAAAATAACTCTTCCAATGCTGTTGATTGAATATAGGATACAACGTATCATATTATATGGCATTATGAAGATGAATAATTATCATTAAATAAAACCTATGGATCCTAATTGTGTCTAGAAATCTAAGATTCTCGATCAAGACATTTATGGATCTGCGGTTTCAATTATCTATAGCCACAAATATACTAACAACTCGTGGACTTAGCGATATGTAAAGCAATTTGCACGTCTATAGAGCACCTAGAAATCTCTAAATCTAGCGGTGCATGAACCTAGCGATCTATAGCTCGAGTCATCTACGTGTTTACGATCTTACGATTTGTCCTAGCTGTCTACGCAACCATGAATTTGTGAACCTGACGCTCTATGAACTTGGCGACGTAAATCTGTCTATCATTAGAGATAAAATATTTTTCATAAAAAAAAAAAAAATCGCAGTTGATATAAGTTAATATAATCCCAATGAAAACCAAATAATCTCATAATTATTTTTTTTAAGTCAAAGATCTTTTTTTCATAAACTCATTAAAATATAAAAAATTTCATCTTTTTCGAAGTGTGTATATATATATATGACATTACAATTTTATATTTTTCAATGATAATATTTATGTTTCTTGATTGCATCAACAATTTATTGCCATCTCGCTGGCAATATTTTTATTTCATCTACGTCATAGAAATTGATCCCGACGAACACGCTTGTGCAAATACCTAGCAAGTACGGATGCGCTTATCGATCGATCTGATATTCCGATACGGTATGATTACAAGTAAGCTACGAGCTCGAAAAATACGGCCTACTATGACCTGTACGATGAGCACGAGCAGTGCAACAGGGGCTCGCGCAATATATAACGTGTATGGTGCACATAACGAATATCTTACGCGGCCACCAGAGCGTTTCCTTACACCGTTACCTGTATCAAAGTGGGTTCTCGGTTCTGGTCGCGCGCTGGTCACCCTGTTCTTTACCAATGGTAACGTAATGGCTTTGTAAACGTCGTCGACACCGAGATCGTTCACGCGTCACCGAGCAAGTGCCTTTCAAGTGATAATTAATGTGAAATATTCGCGATGAAAGGCAGATATCTCGAATATCATAACGTAGATTAATTAGAAGCTTAATCGTTTTTATTGTAATGCATAAAACATTTTGCGAAGAAGGAAGTCCCTCCCGAGAATATAATGATATTTCATTTTATTTGATGTATTTATGCGAAAAGCTCACGCAATACAAACAAAATATCGATTATGAATATTTGTATTGTTTGTATAGAGAAAAAAATGCAAGTTTACATAAAATCATTAAGAGGCTCTTAAATAAATGCAACAATGTAGTGTTTCGATAATAAAATCATTAGTTCTTGGCTGTATATAAGTTGTCATTCTTTTCAATAACTAGCTAAAAGTAAATTACGATAATTCTGAGACTTTTTTTTAGAAAAAAAATCTTGCATGTTATAATTTGCAATTGAATTTGTAGTATGAAACATTAGCAAAGTTCTTATTTAAGTCTAACAATAAGACAATTGTTATTGAAAAAATATAGTAGCAAATTATCCTACATTTTAATTTTCATAATTAAATATTAAATATTCCTCAATGGTGTGTAAACGCCTGGGTATTAATATTTTATTAAACTCTATTTGAAACATTAAAGTGGAATACAATTTATTATTTTTCTCTTTCTCTCTCTCTCTCTCTTTCTCTCTTTCTCTCTATTTGCATCCCTAAAATATAATTCACAAAAAGACTTCCATTTTCAATAAGGAACAATTGATAGTGCGTCAATTAATAAAAATTATTCCCTCAACAAATAATATAAATATAAATTTTAATAAATAATCTGCTCGTAACATTTTACAGATTGGTTTCAAATTATCCCATGTAATTTGACTCCAAATTTACACTGTCCAAGGAAATAAATTTAGATCGACCAAAGTGCTTATTCAATTTTCGAAAACTAGGACGATGCAGTTCTTTTAAATAGAAAGTAAATCCGGTTAAAATTGAAAATAATGCACTATCCGCTATAGTACTGCGCGAACGCAACTGAACGGCAGTAAATTACCGTGAAAAAAGATGTTGGCTGCATAACAGTTATAGAATAATACGGTTGTTAGATTTCAGCCGCTATTTATGCGAGTTTACTGTGTAATGTACAAGTCTATTTACGATCCGAATGTGCGCGTAAGTTATTTTTGCATGTAGTATTTTATTCTATTTACGTTGCTATAATATCATTTTAATGACACATGAAAATTGTCATCAAAAGAAGATAACAAACAGTCTGAAAAATGCTTTTAACATTGTTTTGGATATTGCAAAGATTGCAAAAAAACACATTGCAACATAATACATTGATAAAATCAATAAATTCAATCTTTGCGAGAAATGGAAAATTTGTAAAAATTTTTTTTTTAAATTTGCCCCTTCCAAGAAATCGGTTGTTAAGCAGTACAAAGGCTACAAAGATAAACGAAAACTCAAAAGAAAATAGTGAAAGATCAAGAAATGCTTCGATGTTATTCGAAAGCGATAAAGTGAAGAACAGTATTATACTAATAAAGAAAAATCGATGCTAAAGAAACGCGGCGCAAGAGATGAGAAACGTAAAACTTGCTCCCTGAAATCTCTTTCGCCGCCGTTCTCTCCCACGTCAGCCTCCGGCAGCAATATCAGCAATATCGGCACGTGTTTCAGGTTGCCGCCACCGTTGCCCAGGATTACGAGGTCTCGGACATTCAGTGCAGCGGCGCGGGATCGGCGGCCGATCTTCTGACAGCGAAGATCAAAAGACCGGTCGGCTTCAGAGGCGCCCCGCTCTTCGCCGACGACAGATCGGCGAATCCACTCGCCGATATTCACTGCCAGATCAAACCCGACCCGAATGATCCGCAGGAGGATAACTACTTCCTGAAGGTGTCTGACTTCTCCCGATGCGGCATCCTCAAGAGAAACGTGAGTCATCGATCGAGAGTTACGTGGAACTGATTCTTATGAGGGGTTACGATGATGCGTTCTCCTTGCGACTTATGGCTGACGTTGCACAAACGAACGGAACGGTCGATTCGTAGATTACATACTCGATGGCAACCACTAATTCGCAATTGATTTCCTCCTGGGAGCTCTTATTGCGGGAGGTATCAATAGAAAGCTTTATATCCAGTCAGATCAGGCATTATTATCAGTTATCATTGAATGCCGTTATAATATCTCGATGTAACTTGCTAGTGATAAATCATAATTAACTGTATTATTTCGTTTCATTCTACAACAAGTGCGTACTTGAATTGATTACGCATCATCAGATGTTCTTATAAAGATTCCGACAAAAGTGTCATTATGCATCAAATTGGCTGTATGATTCGTAAGAATGGCAATAATAGATTACAATTAATCAATGCTACCAGGGATTCATTCATCTACGAGTGTGGTTTCCCGCCTTTCCTGGTGTGGTGATGCTGGCCGACCAGGAGCTGATCCTGATGTGCCGGCCGCCCGAGCCGACGCTGCTGAGGCACAAGGCCGCTGGCTTCGCCGGCACTTTGTAAGTCACATCGCGCCTATTCGCACGATATCTTCGTGAATCGCAAGTATAATAAACGAGCATTATTTCCGCCACACTACGCGCATTGCATTCACCGGAGCACGTTCCCGCGCGAGTTCCTACGCCGAGGAAACAGTTATTCGCACATATGGGATACCAACAGTGATATATAATAAAGTGTTTACTTTAAGTATCATCAAAAGAGAGGACGTATCGCGATTTATCGTTTATCCGAATAATTGCAATATGTTTAACAGTAAGGTAAAACTTGATGAAATGCATCTTATGAAGTAAAAAATTGAGGCAATACATTGCAATATATATACGCGAATTAAATATATTTATATAAATTTCACATTCTTATCTACGATAGCAAGAGAGTGCAACGTGCTGAAGCGATGACGCGCGTCTGCTTTAAAGGGCTAATCGTTTCAGTCCGCACGGCGCCAGAGTATCCGGGGTTGTGGAGGAGACGCCGGGTCGGCTCGAATACGAAGTGGCCCTTTATCGCGAGGCGACCGGCAACATGTCCGATAGCTCGCAGACGGTCGATCAGGCGGTACCGATCGGCACCAAGCTGCAGCTGCGCGCCCGCATCAGCCCGGACAGCGCATGGGGCTACATTAAGTTGCTGGAGGTGACTGTCAGTCCGGACCCGGATCAGCCTCACGCCCCCGGTAGCGTCGTACTCGTCAAGGACGGCTGCAGGAATCGCGATTTCGCGTCCATCATCCCGCATCAGCCGGCGAGATACCGTGAGCGCAAAAATGAGGTCTTCCTTGACTTTGAGGCTTTCCTGCTAAGCTCGATGAGGGAGCGCTCCACCCTCTGGATTCATTCCCAGATAAAGGCGTGCATGGAGCCGCAGGACTGTCAACCGGTGCGTGATAATGACGGTCATTTAGCAAATTCGTTAATGCAAATGATTATACTGGATGTTCTAGAATTCTATTCCCTAGAAAAACTTGTGTGTATATAATGTTTTTTTTTTAGATAAATATAATGATAGGTCAATTTCAAGAAGTTACGACACATAAACATAAAATAATATTATGCTAATATATCTATATGGCACTTTCTATTATCGTCTTCTATATATCGTCTTTTTATCTTTGCAGGACTTCTGTCTCGATCTCTTCGAACCCTCGGGACACGGGAGAAAGAAAAAAAGAGCGGTCGAGGCGAGCATAGAAGCATCGGGCGAGTTTCTTCCAAAAGTTGAGCGTTTGATCAAAAGATATAACGATTCCACGCCATATACAAAGTTCAAGGTAAAGGCGTGCATGGAGCCGCAGGACTGTCAACCGGTGCGTGATAATGACGGTCGTTAAGTATAATGCAAATGATTATACTGGATGTTCTAGAATTCTATTCCCTAGAAAAACTTGTGTATATATAATGTTTTTTTTTGAGATAAATATAATGATAGGTCAATTTCAAGAAGTTACGACACATAAAGATAAAATAATATTATGCTAATATCTATATGGCACTTTCTATTATCGTCTTCTATATATCGTCTTTTTATCTTTGCAGGACTTCTGTCTCGATCCATAAAATAATATTATGCTAATATATCTATATGGCACTTTCTATTATCGTCTTCTATATATCGTCTTTTTATCTTTGCAGGACTTCTGTCTCGATCTCTTCGAACCCTCGGGACACGGGAGAAAGAAAAAAAGAGCGGTCGAGGCGAGCATAGAAGCATCGGGCGAGTTTCTTCCAAAAGTTGAGCGTTTGATCAAAAGATATAACGATTCCACGCCATATACAAAGTTCAAGGAGAACATTGAATATACCGTGATGATGCCAGATGGTAAGTTAAGTATATTTTTTAATTTATTAAAAAATTATTAAAAAATTGAATTTGCTTTGTAATTAATTGTAATAATTCTTTGCATCTTCTCTGTATTCTCCAGAGTTAATTTTTTCTCGAAAGCTTTATTTTTATTTCATCTTCTTTTTCGAGGATAGTAATAATTTTCTCCAAACATTTTCAATCAGTATATCACATACGCGCGCGTTATAATTTATAGTATATAATATATACAGAGTTGAATTTTTAATGTCATCAATTTTCCTCTCTCCCCTTTTGAAAAATAGAATTTCTGAGAAATTTATTCTGTGAAAACATATAATCTCTCTAAAAGACTAATCTAATCTAGAAAGGCTAATTTCCAATTCAGCCATATAAACTGAGATTAATTTCTTCAACATAAATTTTCGTAGCATTATGTGACAAGATTCATGAGAGTCAGATTAACATATAACCGACATTCAACGAAAATGTATTAAGATAAAGAGCATCTCGCCTCTAGATAACGTTTGAATACGGGACTGGCAATTTTGATTAATATTCTCACTCATTATCATAGAGTTGTACGACAAAGTAGCGGCCGGCCTCGAAGGTAGCTGCGGAAATTTCCTTTACGTGGCAACGGGATTGGGCGCTCTACTAGTGTTATCAGCTTTTATCATGTGCTACCTAGCATCGCGTCTTCACAATCTGTCCTCGACGATGCAGCAGAGCAAATCTATCGACGAGTTGGTCAGAGACCGCACTAGAAAATATTGCGACACCACGCCTGGTTATACCGGTCGTTCGACGATGCAATAAGTGCACGATTCAGGAAGAAAAAAATGCGAAAGTAGTATTTTGTCACGCAATAAATATACTTTTCGCGAAATATATATTAAGTTACAACGTAATGCGTATAATTAATGCAACGTTATAACGATACTTGGAAACTAAACTGAGAGATATTTATTCGCGAGAGGGCAACTTGTAAGCCACGTTTGATTTTCTACTTTGAGAGGGCAAAAATACTTGTTCTACTTCAAAGATACCGAGATGAATTTTAACGTTTCGTTACTAATAATTATGTTGTATTGCAACTTATCGTAATTATGTTAGTATCGAAAAGTAATTCTCGCCGCGAGAAGAACTTTGAAAGGGATTTCGAATAACGTTCGGACGAGTGAACGACACCGCCCACCGAGGAATAAAAATAATTCTCGTGACGTTAGAATGCTCGAGGACATTCGTGGTAGTAAACGAGTGTACTTACTTTCCATGTAAAATAAAATCAATTCGAGTTAAAACGAGACGGATCTCTCAAAGCAAAGATAACTTGAAAATTTATGAAAAAAATTTGTCGCCAAATTTAGAGTGCTACCTGGCACGCCAACGGAATATCGTTAGCTACTTTGCAATGTAGATATGATAGCCACGCTACACGTGTTTATATTTTATGAGGAAGCACCGCTTAACACAGTTCTTCTACATGAATACAGATGTAAACAGTCTATTTCTTGCCCAATTTTTCATTTCTCGATTCTGTGACCCTAGTAAAAAAGGCATTCAAGCGAGAAAAACAATTTTTTTAGTTTATTATATATAATTATTTATAATATATA